TGCATGGGATGTTTTTAAGATTACAGTTTACAAACGGGATGCAAAATTCATTCAAATAATTTTTTCTCGACAGATTCAGCGATTGACATCATTTACAAGCTTGGATTATCAAAGTCATTTTTTACTGAAACTAATCAAGCTCCAGGTATTTGCATTAGCTTTAGTTAGATTTAATGTAAGTGATTGGGGCAAATGAAGTCTGAATGTTCGTCGAAATACAAAAAAGGAGACATAAGGGAAAAAATATTCCCAATTATTGTATCGGATCTATCTTGCGTGGTAAATTAAGTGTATTATTTTTTTGTCTGTTTTATATCTTTAATGTTTTTCTATCAAACAGAACTTTTATAGCACCTGTTTTTGATTTTATTGTTTTCGACTTTATATCATTGAAATATTAAAACGTCTATAATGGAAAACCTTTGATAAAGACAAATCTTCACAATTTGATACACTTAGGCCGCTCCTTCGTGGATAATGAAATCAAACAAAGCTCTGCTGTTCTCAGAATAAAGAAGCAAAGGACAAAGAAAGAAAGTAAGATTCTTTTTCTTACACTGATAATTGGAATTTTTGGCATAAATTTAAACATTTCGAGCTACAGATGAAAAATTCGAAAGATAAAAAGTTTTTTTATATAATCGTCAGATATAATATAATCAGATAGAATCTTTTCTCATATCAACAAACAGACAGCCGTGTTAAAGAAAATTTCTTGCAATATCGTCATTCACTGTACTTAGAACGAAGCTGCAGAAAATCAATTTTAGAACAAGGACAACATTAGGAGCATTAGAGCCTTAAATCAACAAAAGAATAATGTGGCTTTCACGTATCTTTCAGTTTAAGACCACCAATTGACCACTATCCTTGAATTATATTCTTTTACATAATATAACTTTTAGGCAATGGTACGCAAATTTTGCATGTTCATAAGACAAAACTTTAAAAATTGAATCTATTGTGAACTACGAGGACAAAAAGTGTAGCTCTAGCACAATTTGATTTGGAAGATAAAATAATATTGCTTATAACTAATATTAAACAAGAACTAAATTGTTTCTGTTTTTAAGAGAATTAGGGTTTCCTTCGAAGTGTTGTCTCTACTTTGCAAAAAGAGTTTACTTTCTACATAAGTAGCATCTGAACTGTGTTAACTTTTTTTGGATAAAATCTCTAGCTTTGTAACAAATTATGGATTTTATGAAATAATAATAACAACTAAATTCTTGTGCATTTTTCCTTCAATAATCTCAAAGAAATATCTTTTCAGTGATGGAGCTTGCTAAGCAAAATACCGAAGCGCCTGGAGAAAATGATCCAATATTGAAGACAGCGAGTGGAGACGACGAGGCAAAAGCCAAAAGCCTAGTGCCAGGTATCTATTCAATACAATTTTTCATGCCGTTGTCATCTACCAGAAAGCAGGAACTTTTTGTAGAAGCTCATGAAGAAAGATGATGGAAGCTCATCTCAAAAATTTAAAAATTCTTCCTGCAGAAAATTTAAGGTGGTTAATAGAAGATAAAAAGAGAGTATCTCTCACCTTCTGATTCTAAACCTCATCATGCGTAGAATCTGCCTGTTTAGTATTATGGAGTAGCGATTAAATCTTTTTTGACTTTGGAATGTGATAATATGACATGATAGTAATTTACTTTCATAAAAATCAGTCTTTAGGCACACAGACCTGCAATGGATTCTGCAAAAAATCAGAAGATTATTCCAGGAAACAGCATGCAATGGTAGGTTTAATGTTTTCTCTACTAAAGTCTTTTTCCGTCAATTTACATTTTGCTTGTGTAGTTCATACAAATATTCAACGTGACATACATTCGGACAACATTAGATTATTTCAATAAATTTTGCGACCAATCTTTGCTTGTAGCCTTAAAGTTTTTTATTCCTGTTGTAACATCGTATAAATTTGAATTCAAAAGCTAATTCGAAATTCGGTTCTGAAAAGAGGGGCTTATGCAAGATGGGAGTAGCCAAGTGGGGGCCTATTAAAAAGTTGATCTTGTTGGCAGAATATACTAAGAAAACAACAAGATTGGTGACAAAAATGGATAAAAAGTGAACTCGATAAAAAAGTTTTTATATTAGATTGTATAAAACTATAATATATTTATGTATGTGCTATAATGTAAGAAACATTGTGAAAAGGTTCTCATCAATGGGCTGTCTTTTTTAAACCTGACATTATAATAGGGGGAGGGGGCTTATTTGAGAGATGGGGCTTATTCTATAATCGATGCTGAAGAGGAAGGGTTATTCGAAAGGGAGCTTATTTAAGAGGGGAGGTTTTGTTGAATCATTACAAACTATGAAATACTGTTTACATGCAATATTCGTTTACTTGTTAATAGCTTATGCATTTACTTAGCTATTTTGTAACGTAGCAATGTTCTTTTTCTTAGCAGAAATGACTGAAAACTGTGACATGTACAGCGAGAACCAAGAATATGATCCCGAAAAGGAGAAAGTCATGGGTATGTAGAAATTTGCATCAAATTTCTTTGAATTGAAATGTGCCTGTACACCGAACAATGCAGGCTACTACTTCAATGACAGTTCGCTAAAACTTTTTCTATTTAAAATACATGACACTCCATTCTCAGAACAGAAAACTTCGCAATCTCAAGTATGATAATGTGTTGCTATTAAATATCATTCTCTATATAAACTTTTCTTCATTTTCCAGATGGCCTTTACGCTCACATGTGCTACTTTTCTCCGAAAGTCCTCTGCGGTATTCAGGCCTCGATTGCAGACCAGAAAGAGCGGTTTAAGTTGCCAATGATCGAAATCGTCACCAAAGAAACCCCAGAATGCATCATGGCCAGTGTGATAGTGAATCAAACCGTTGTGGAGGAGCAAAAAAGGCACTGCTTTGAAAAGATGTACAGCAGTAGATTGGACGACACCTTAAACATGCAAATGGCCATGCTGAATTTGGTCTTTCAGGCTCAGTGGAAGGAGTTCCCTATGCAAGTCCAGAAAGGCGTTTACAATAGATTTGCAACAGCCCAAATCATACTGAAGAAAATTGTGCCATACCAGTGCTCATTGGCTGAAGCTGAGCGAATGGGCATTTGCTGAATAAAGACATCAACCTGACATTTCCAGGACATGTTTAAAGATATATTGACTATAGTAGAGTCCGTTGGACAATTTAAATCTGACCAGAAGTAAGCCTTGGTTGAATAAATTTGTAATTGGATTTTAGCGTTTTAATTGTACATATCAATACATGGATTCAATAATATGTTGTTACTTTGATAAAATATTGTTTATCTTTCGAATTCCTGTTTTTGCTGTGTAAGAAATTTTCAGGCTTGATAAGACAGTATGCAATAGAGATTTAAATACTCAATGAAAGCATTATAGACGAGGTGCTCACCTAGAGCTTTGCGCATCTAAGTTTCCAGAAAGACAATTTCTTGTCACCGTAGTAAGGCATTCGTAGCATGAGCCCTGGGAGTGAACAGTGATGTTTTTCTCTATCTTAACTCCCTTCTTCCTTCGTCTCACATTCCCCCTCTTTCTCTCTTTTCCTCTTCTGGATATTTCTGCTCTCGTTTGACTTCAGTTTCTATTTCTTCCTTACTAAATCGCTTAATCTTATCGATACCTCTGTTTGTTTATTTCATTGCTTTCCCTTACAATTCTAAATGACCAACCATGATCTACCTTTTAAAAGAAAAAAAGGATGCAAAAAACTGGTACTGTACAATTTGTTTATTGGACACTTGACAAAGCCTCATACAACGACTCAAGAAAGAAGACAAAAAATAGATATATGATTTTAATAAATATGACGATAAAAACTACTATTTGATTAGACATCGCTCTAAGTTATATTAGTTTATATACCAAATGCCGTATATACAATATATCACACGAGTAATAACATACTTGCAAGTAAATACTTGTAATTATTCATTAATATCATTATGAAATGATGCTCATATCAAACCCGCTTCAGGTTTTAGGCCCAGAGCAAAATTTACTCTCATAAAATACGAAAATGCTCTCCTAATTCAAATACCCTCCCTGACACTAAAAAATACCCTGTATACAATTTACGTTATCAAATTCCCTTTTCTGGTGGCTCGCTGTAGTTAGTTTATTTTACATGTAATATGTCATTGTACTTTTACACTGACACTTTATAGAGGGTTGGTATCAATGGCCTAATATAAGACAGTCAAGGGTTAAATTTTGAACTTGATATAAAACTTTTTCAAAAAACTATATGTAAAAAACCTTTCTAAAACAATCGCAATTTTGCTCTGAGAAAGGTCATTATAAGAAAAAATTGGGAGTCCCAAGTTAGCGAATTTCTTTGGTAATCTGTAAAAGCTGAAATGAAATAGAAATTCCTAAAAGTAAAGTACCTCCACGCAAAAGGCACCTGTGGGGCTCTTTGTTGGTCCATTGTTGTGAAGTGTTAATACATAGGAAACTTCTGATACAAGGCTTTTACCATCTAGAAGGAATACAAGAACAAGTTGATTTCGTTAAGGAGTGGTCCTTCATTACTGTAGGGGTGTGATAAAAGAGATGAATTTCACCCCATCAACTCATCTAAAACTGATGGGGAATCTTGTGATTCACAAATGTTGGAACAAGCAACGCGTCCTTTATCTGAAATGATGAGCGTACCTCCAATATGCTCCTTTAAAGCTCCTTCATTAATCTCTGTTTCGCTACTATGCACTACTCCGTGCATCAGTTCATCAAGGACCGACAAAGGCAACGGTGATTCATTAGCATCTGTAATTATTCTCTTGCATGCCTCACCCAGCCCTTTGCAACTACCCAACAT